TCCAGCACCTGGCATAGTAATTAGCACATAGTAAGCCTTTCATAAGTGTGGATTGATTGATTCATTCAAGGATCCATAATTTGTTTGGCATAATGCAATGGATGTTACCATCTCCCAAATCTTGAATTATTTAATGAACAGGTCTCCCACTCTCACAAATAAAGGAATTTAGCACATTTTCATTCCTTTTGGCTCTCAAAGGAACCCAGAAAAGAGATTGAAGCTTAATAAATGATGTTTACAATGGAGTCTTTTTTCTTTCTTTCTTTCTTTTTTTTTAAATTAAAGCAGGCAAGTGTACTCTGAGTACACAAAAGGTGAGTGGATGCACAGATGCAGGGGATGACAGCTGAGAATGAATAAATTGAGAAAGTTTAAAAAGAAAAGGCAACCTGAATAAAAAAGAGGATGGGGTACAGACAGGGTTAAGTTTTGTCAGAGGCATTTGGCCTTTTCTGAACAAGCTCCATGCAAAACTGTAAGGCAGGGGTTCTTAACCTCATTTTGTGTCATGAACCCCCTTTGGCAATCCGGTGAAGTCTATGGACTCCTTCTCAGAATAATGTGTGTTGCCTACATTCAGAAACGAAGGAAATGCTACATTTCAGTTAAAGGTTAGTGAAAATAAAGATGTCACTTTTTTCTTATCCAAGTTCATGGATACTCTCAGAAATCTACCCACTCACCTCTTGGGGGAGGGGAGGTCTGTGGAACCTAGGTTAAAAACTTCTTATATAAAGTTACTAAGAAGGAGTTAACCTGAATACAGTTAGTTTTTCCCCAAAAAACTAAGCACAATATTAAGCTCACCAATGAGTCTTTCACCATTTCAAGAAATGTTAAATTTCTACATCATTCATTTATACAAATAGAACTGTCTCTATTCCCTGCCCCTCCCACTTGAGACCATTAGCAGTGACTTAATATGTTTGTTTCATGCACCAACTCTTCCATTTAGCCTTGTCTTGAATTTCCAGTAAGAATGTGGAGGCAGTTGGGGACAATTCCTATTTTTAAAGTCCCTACCACCACCACCACCACCACCACCATCTTGTGGGTAATGGCCACCAACATCGGACAGGCTCCACTATTTCCAGTGTCTGGAGCATTTCCCTTACAAGGATCCTTTTGGGGACAGGTAGGAGGCAGAATCCTGTTTGGGTCTGTTTCCTGATCTATGCTGGCAGCGATCCCAGGAATTACTTAATCCCAGAAGCTGAATGGAGGAAGTCCTTCCCCACAGACTTCTTCACATTAGGACTTTCAGATCTGACAGGAGGGAGGGAAATGTTTTTATCTTCAGCATATTTCTGGGCAGAGCAAGCAAGGGAAGTACAGAAAGAGGAGCAAAATCAGAATTAGCTGAAACAAAATTTAAAATTCCCAATCTTCTTTTGAGTTAGTATTTGCTAACCCAGAAACTTCAGCTGTAGAAACTCAGGGTACAGTGGAAAGAATAATACCTCTGGGTCAGACCACTTGAGTCCAAATCCTTCTACCTGCAAAGCTCCCTTTCTGTGCGACTTTCAGCAAGTCACTCAACTTAACTGAGCCTCAGTTTCCTCATCTCATAGATGAGTGGATTGGACGAGAAGGCCCTAGAGGCCCCTTCTATCTCTAAATCTATGAACCTCAATCTCACAGTGAGAATTTAAAAATGGGGTTCTGAGCTACTCTAATAAAATTCTATCTGGTCTCTCTGCCAAACAGGATCCCTAGTGACATCCTCCATCTACAGGGTCACTGGAAGGATGCACTTATTGCCCTCACTTTAAGGGGAAGTATGTGAGAGAGAACTCTTGACTTTCCCCTGTTCTCTGGGGGACAGGATGCTGGTCTCTGCTGAGATCAAAGGTCCAAGCCAGATAAACTCTTCACCTACAAATAAGGGAAATGCCCTCAAAGCTTACTAAGAACAAAGTTCAGTTTTTCTTCCAAGTCTAATAATTTGATCTTCTCTTTCTATGCCTCAAGTACAGTACTCACATTTTGAGAAATTAGTGATCCTACCATAAACAAATGACACTTGAGGTCCTTCCTTTGAAATTATATGTGTATCTAGATCTATATGTGTATATATATATATATTTATATATGTACATATAGGTATATAAGTATGTTTTATATTTTATGTAGTATTATATACAGCATGTACGACTCTTCTCAATGACCTTACTTTGTTTTATTTTGTTTTTTTTATTCTGAACTCAACAAAACACCCAATAAAATGAGTAAAAAAAAGAACTGTAAAAAGAGGACATGAAGTTTCTATTATGTATAGCTTGTTTTTGCTTTTAAGAATATAACCTATTCACTTTCTATCACAAAGTGATGTAACATATCACTTTGAAAGCTGTCCTGCTTTTTCTCTATGTTCCCTTCTATTCTCTTCAATGGCCTTTTTCTCTTTCTGGCATCTCTACAGAGCTCACCTCTCTGACTTTCACCTTCTTTTTCACTGTACTCCCAACTGGAAAAAAAGAGAAAATCAAAAGCCTTGTAACAAACAAACATATATATACATACACACATACACACACACACACACACACACGCATGCACACACATGCACATATATATACACATATAATCAATTAAAACCCATTCCTACATTAGCCACTTCTGAAAACGGATGTCTTATTCTGCATCCTTGACTTGCATGTGAATCGGATTTAAGTGAGGCAGTTTCCCAAAATCATCAACTTCACTCTTTCTTCCAAAGTCATCCAAGTCGAGTGGCAGGAAAAAAATCAAGATGACTAGCATTGACCTGGGATCAAGTGGATGACCTTGGTATCTTCAATGTCTGACCAATCTCTAAGTGCCCCAAAGCCCCTGCTTCAGCTGCCTTCATGGCCCTTGGAGCAGATTGCACTCATCTTCCCAATTCACCTGGGAATGTCTTCACATGCTCGGGGTAGACACTGGCCTAACTCGCCTACAGGTCTGAGGCCTATTGGTTACCCTCAGCCTAGTTTTGTCCATCTGCCAAGGTTTTACTAGGATGTGGCTGATGAGTGTGCTATGGCTTCTTGGAGCCACAGGTGATAGGTAGATGGACAGCTCTGAAAAGGGCTCCACAAGCCCTTCTATCAGAAGTGCTAGTCCTCCCAGAGTACCCCAGGATATAAAGATAAAAACAAGAAAGTCCCTGCCTTCAAGGAGTTTCCATTCTATCAGAAGAAACATGTTTACAGATAAATAATTACAAAGTCCTAGGGAGGGGCACTTGTAATTGGAGAGGGAGGGTATCAGGACAGGCTTCACATGGCACCTGAGCTGAGCCCTTTAGGGAGCTAGGGATCTCAAAAAGCAGAGGTGAAGAGGGAGAGTATACACAGCAGAGATAAGGCAATGGATAGGGAATAGCTGGTGGGTCAGTATAGATGAAAAATAGAATGTATGAGGGGGAGTAATATGAAATCAGCCTGGATAGAGAAGCTGGGGCCAGACTGTGAAGGGTTTTAAATATCAAATGTAGGAGGCTGTATTTTATCCTAGTAGCAATAGGAAACCATCAAATTTTCTTGAACAAGGAAATCTGTGTTTTAGTGATAATCTCTTCCAGTTTTGTGGAGGCCAGATTAAAGTGGGGTGAGACAGGAAGCCAGGATATCAGTTAGGAGGTTTTTGTTATTATCACCCAGTTGTTTAGCCATTTTTTTAGTCCTGATTCTTCATGATCCTGTTTGGGGTTTTCTTGGCAAAGATACTAGAGTGATTTGCCATTCCTCTTCCAGCTCATTTTACAGATGAGGAAACTGAGGTAAACAAGGTTAAATGATTTGCCCAGGGTCTCACAGCTAGGAAGTGTTTGAGGCCAGAGCTGAACTCAAGAAGATGGGTTGTCTTGACTCCAGGCCCAGCACTCTACCACTGTACCACAGAGCTCCCCAATTATCATCCAGGTGAAGTGATTAAAGCTAGGACTTTGGTGGTGGTGTGTGTTCAAAGAAAAACAGGATTGCAAGAGACCTGTAGTAACAGGATCTTAGACTGCAACACAGCTAATAACTGGCTGGATGGAAATGGGTGGAGGTGAGTGACTGAAGAAACGGGATGACTCTAAGTTTCTAGACTTGGATGACTAGAAGGATGGTATTGTCCTCTACAGAAATAGGCAAGTTTAGGAAGGTGATGGGTTTTGGAGTATAATGGGAAGTTTGAGTCTAAGATGACTATGAGACACTCAGGTAAAGATTTCCAGCAGGCCATTGGTGATGCCAAACTTGAGTCCAGGAAAGATATGACCTTTGGATATTTTAAAGTTACCTACATGGAGATAAGAGAATGGACTTTAAGATTACTGAGAGTGTAGGGGAAAGAGATGAGGACCCAGGACTGAGCTCTGGGAAATCTAAGTCTGAAAGGAACCTTCAGACAGGTAGGAAAACCCAGAGTGTCACAAAAACCCAAAGGGGGAAAGAGTATTCTGGAACAGGGGAGTATTCAAGAGGCCAACACTACCAAAAACCAGACTTTTCCCGACTGCCCCAAGCCTGTGGAAAATCAGTGAAGGAAAGAGGTATTGATTTAGGGAAGCCCTATTTTAAAGTACTCCTCAGTACTCCCTCTGGGGAGGAAATCCTCCCATTTACACAGCAAACTTCTAAGGTCTTGTAAGTACATAGTTGTTTGCATGTCATCTCTCCAGCCTAAAGGGCTGGGACCTCATTTTGTTTTTGCTTTTCTTTGCATCTCCAGTGGTTAGCACAGTGTCTAGCACAGAGAAAGCTTCCTTTAATGCTTGCTGACTGACATTCTAGAACATACAGAGTCCCCAAGGGTCCAGAGAAAATACCGGTGGCAGCCCCCAAGTCCAGCGGCTGCAGGAGCACTGGGCAGCGTGTCTCGTCCTAGCTAGGACAGGTCCAGCAAGCTGCCTGGGATTTCCCACTGAAAGCCTTCCCGGAAATTCTTTCTTCATCACTTCTCACCCGTGGGGCAATTGCGAAAGGCAGTCCGGCCCTCCCTCTCTCCATAAGAAGCCGGAGGACAGCGGGGCTCTGGCACTGATCAGCAGAAGCTCCAGTCCCTCCTGTCCTCCGGCTGGCCCAGCCAGCTGCAAACAGCAGCGGCGGCGGCGGCAGAAGTTGCTGCAACAAAGTTACAAACTTGGAAGCAGGGCTCTTCGCAGGTAAGGATGCTACTGTAGCTGTCTCTGTTTGGGCTGCGGCTTCTCCCTGCGGACCTCACCCTCATCCTCACTCCCACTCCAGTCCTGCCTCCTTTTACTAATTTTCCTCTTCTCCTGAGTCCTCCAAGTTCCTGTTGCCATGCACTTCGAGGAAAGGGTTTGCAAAGTTGCTGACCAGGGAATCTGTGCACGTCTACTGGAAACGGTGCGCAGCCAGGCACATCATACAGTTCACACAGCGCGCACTGGCTCCTTACATCCTGGGTGGAGATCGATTGGGGAAGGTAGTTAACCGTTTCCAGGTGTGGCACATTCTCAGACAGGGGCAAATATCTCGAGTCCGACATGGTCCATGAGAAAAGACAGGATTTTGGAACTGGAGAATTGGAGAGGCCGTGGGGCGGGGGGAGGGGGACGGTCATGCTGTGTAACCTTGGACAAATTACTTTTGTGGACCTCACTCAGTTCACTCACCTATAAAATGCTGGGCAGGGGGAGGTTAGCCTTGATAGCCGATGAGTTTATCTAGTTCTTTGATCCTATGATCCCATCGGGGAGGGAATGCAGTGATTCCCCATAAGGATTTAGGAAACTGAGTCTTAGAACCCACGGCAGGAATGAACTATAACCTCAACCAAGAACAGAACATTTTGATTAAGATCTGGTGCAGCCAGTGGAGAGTTTATCTTTGATCTTAATTTAACTTGATTTGCTATGATACCTGATTGACTTTCCCTCCCAGAGAAATAAGGTAGATTTTTAGTATGATAAGAAGTAGTTTTATTTTTTTATTAATCCGGGGTCAGAAATGACATTGCCATTAGAAATAGAATTTTTCCTGGGTTGCAAATTGGGAGCTGTCTTCTGAGAAAAGCATATGACTCGAGTCTTTTTGCAGGTAAAAATACACTGTATATATATTTAATACTCTTCCATGGCTGAGTAATTACATTTTCATAATAATAGTTTCCATTTTATAGGGGATTTATATATTATATATAAATATATAAGATATATATATATAATATGTATATATATATACATATATATATGGCTGTAAGGAGGAAGGGGGACGCATTCCCCCAAGAGTATCTTAGAGGCATATCACATTTATCATTCACAGAATACTTCTAGCTTTCAAAACCATTCTTCAGCCTTGATATGTGAATTTCCAAGCCCCTCTAAATGGCAGTGATATAAATGTCACTCACATGAAAGAACATTTTTTTTCCTGTTACAGTCGTGGTAATTTTATAAAATGGCACATTTATTTGAAGCTGTAACTTTCTTGAGATATGGCCTTTTGCAAGCTCCCAAGTTTTCCTGAAAGCAGTGATTTAGAAGTGTGGGAAGCCAGTTCCCAAGAAGGAGGTGCACCTGCCCAGCAAGCATGCCCACTATAGGAAACAGGACGAAGGGCTTCATGCCATTTACGCTGTGTCACAAATGGCAGGCACATACAGGTAATGGAGCATAGCGCCTTTCCTGGTTGCCAACTTTTACAGTTTTCCTAAGGATCACAGTAAGCAATTTGGAAGGTAGTCACCAAACGCTCCCTCCCAGTTACAGGTGTTCAGTGCCTGACACCAAACTTCCAGATTTCTGCTTAGAACCAAACTGAATTCTTCAAATGAATTAAATACAACACTCAGCTCAATAATCACTGAAACCCTGTGCTCTCCAAGGCATGTATGTGAGAGGCAGCTTGACCTTGTGGATAGAGAGACAGCCAGCTGCAGGGTCCAGGAAAACCTGTTTTCTTGTTCCATTGTCCACAAATATCAGTCTATAACCTCATTCTGGCATTCACGGTCTCAGTGCCCCAGGCAAGTTTCTTAAGACTATTATAAACTGCAAAGCAGGTGCCAAAGGGCTTTGAAAGAGGGAGTTTCCTCACATACCAATGAAATCACACACACATACACAAAACACTAGAGATAGAAAGATATAAAAAAAAAAAAGGAATCAGTCTCTGCCCTCAAAGAACTGAGATTTACTAAGAAGATACAGCCTTTACTCAAGTAGATGCAAAGGAGATTTGTGTGTATGAAACACAATGAGCTTACATTGGAGGTGACCTCAACAAGTATAAATAAGGGGGAAGGGAAGAGAGGAAGGGGAAGGAATAAGCAATTTAAATGGCACCTACTATGTGTCAGGCACTGTGCTAGGCACTATTTACAAATATTATTTCATTTAAAAAATACAATATAAATAAAAAGTTAATATATATGTATATATAAAGTAGATGAATGCAAGTCTGAGAGAAAGGTTACTAAGAATTGGCTCAGAAGATAGTGTCTGAGTTGCATTTTAATACCTTCATCATCGTAATCTGTACAATAACCTTTATTCTTATTGAAGACTTTCTTGGGAACCTCTCTGCTTCCACACACTGCTCAGAGTGAGGTCACTTGCTAACCAATTACTGTTGTGTATTATTTTATCCTGCCTCGGAGGCTGAGAATGTGTCTGTGGATAATGAAGCTGTGAATTCACAGACATTTTAAATAGCTTGGATTTGATTTAATTCAGCATACATTGATTAAGTTCCTATAAAGTGCCAGGCATACAAAGGTGCTGGGGATACAAGACAAAAATGAAACCATACCTGCCTTTTAGTAGGCTATTTTTGGGGGGAGTGGAATCTACATTAGTAAATTAAGTCAATTAGGTAATTAAGTAAATACAACATATACAAAACAATTTCAAAACAAGACTGTGCTAATAACAACAGAGTCAAGAAAGGCTACATGCAGGAGGTAGCACCTGAATTGTGCTGTGCTTTGAAAGAAGCTAGGGGTCTTTGGTCTGCGACAGATGGCAAAATGACATCCTTCTATTAATAACTTACTGGCCTTATTAATATAATGTTTAAATTACCCAGAAACTACATCTCTCAAAACTTTTTAATCGTAATAGTTATGGCTAAACACAAAGAGATCAGAGCCTTTCCACTCTAGATCCTTTTTTTCCTTTGACTGTCATACTTTATTTTCTTTCTAGTAATACAAATATATAATAAAATAGAAGGTGCCCAAATAGATTTTAACAGGTAAGAAAAGAATACAGTTCCTGGATATCAAGCTGTCATTTACAAATTAACACTGCAAAACATATGAATTAATAACTCTTAACTGGTTTACATAAGAATTATAATAGGAAATAAACAAAATCATCTATTTGATACAGAACAAATAAGAAAAAGCCCCCAACATCCTAAGATCCTGTCATTATATTAGTTCTTCACAAGGTTTTAAATGAATATAAATCTGTAAACATGACGATGTAGCTATTTCTGAACATTCAGTGGTACTTACAAATATGTTTGATTCTCTGCCAAACTATTCTAATTTAAAGTGTGACCACACAATGCACACACACATTTTTGGGAATACTCAACAAAGCGCTAAAGCGTGAGATACTGTCCTGCGGGGAGGAGGCTGCATGCTGGGTCCCGGATAACAGTTTAAGCTAGTCCATAGTATTTCCTGGTCTGGGGATCAAAGTAGTAGTTTAGACATGATCATACAACGGAGACAACACTTCTTCATCCTCTCCAGCACTTAGGTCATCTTCACCTTGAACATTCAAACTTCCTGAGGAATCCAGGTGCTCTGTAGACTGCTGGCTAGGGGGGACAATAGGTGGACTGAACACATTTAACCAATCTTGAGGGTTAGAAGGAGAAGGAGGATCCATTTCTTCCTGGTAGTGATATCCTTGATGGACAGGTGGTGGCAGGCAAGAGTTCCACGTGGTGGTATCATCCCTGCTGCTACTGATGCTGACCTTACAATTGTCAATCTGAGACACACTCAGACCACGAGGCCCGGACATCTTCCAGTTCTTCAATCTGTGGTCTTCTTAGCATCTGCAGCTCAGATTCACTCATTTGGCTTGATTGGTAATTTGCTGCTGTCAAATCCACAAAAATCATCTTCCAACTGGGCTCCTCTCCCCTTCCCACCGTCATCCTCCTTTAGACCCATCAGAAAGGAGCCCCCTTCTGCACACACACTCTGACGCCTTCTGTGAGGCAAGGACCTCGGCCTTGAGGAAAATGTAAAAATCCCATTTGGAACACTTTGGGTTTCCTCTCCTTGACCGCTATTTTCATTTTCTTTGATGTTTTCTGGCAAGTGGTGTGAATTATCGTAGGAATCATCTTCCAGGGTTATGGATTGTTTGCTAGGGTCCAAATGAAAATGATCTCTGTAATTTTCAGGAAATACCCACTCATCTGTTCGATGAGGAGATGGTTACTGATGACTAGTGACATTTTATGTCACTGCGATGTTTGTTCTTTGATGAGACACAGTGGTGAGCTTGGCTGGTGTCCTCTCTTCATCAGGGCTGGTTCTTGAGGAGCTCCTACTGGGCGTCTCTGTTCCAGATGTAATCTTCATCTACTATTATTCTTATCTGTGGATGGTTCTTGAGGGGGATGTGGATGCATAATATGGAGATCAGCATTAACTGCTGTAATTTACTTTTCCAGATGAATATTTTCTTTGTCTCCTTGCTCTTCTGACTCACACAACTGTAGGCTTGACATTTCTGACCCATTAGTACATTTTTCTACAGCAGGCTGCTGATAAGTTCTGCTACTTCTGGATTTTACAGTCTCTCCAAATGTCCTTATGCTATGTATTCTTCTGGAAGGTGGAGGTGGTCCAAGTACCTTGGATCCACATGCAATGTGAGAAACATTTTGATTCTTACTGTTTTGTGCACCAGGACTGATCCTCTGTTAATAAACTGACCTGGTTCTGTTGATGTTAAGGGTTGACCTCCAAATTTCATTTCTGTTTGGAGAAGCTTAGTCATACTTAGCAGCTGGGTAACTTGAGGTACATCTGTAGTTAACTGGCAGCTTTAAGGAATGATACCTGTAGGCTCCTCTGGTGTAGAGGGAGCACCATATATATCATCTCTGTCAGCAGTATCTGGAGGCTTGGACTTGAGAGTCAAGATTGTTCAGAGCTTGTATTTCACTT